AGAAACCTTTTTTTTTCTTGACAGGTTGGTTATCTCGAGTGTTTATTCTGGTGACAGAGCTGATTAACACAAGTACACTTAAAGTTCAAATAATGATGAAATCACCTGCTAGCACAGTTCTCAGAACGTGTCCTCATCACCAAGCAGCCCGCAACGCCTTGCTCCAGCTCCATGCTCTTTGTTCTCCCCTTTGAGACTCCACTTACCTACTCGAGATCTTTCTGCACTCTTTCATATGTCTCTTACATTCTTCTCTATGTTTCCAATCTTATTCTCTGTCCCTAGTTTTTTGTTTGTTTGTCTTTGTACTGGGGATCATACTCAAGACCTCACACTTGCCAAGCTGGTGCTTGTGCCACTGAGCTAAATCCCCAGCCCCTCTTTCCCTTAGTTTTGATATTTTCTTCTGAACTAATTTCTAGATCACTAATTCTCCCTTCAGTTGTATCTCATTTGTTATTTAACAAGTTCTTAAATTCATTGTGGGTTTTTTTTGTTGTTGTTGTATCATTTCCACTTGGTTACTTTCTCTTCTTTTTTCATCTGTCAAGATGCAATCTCATTGTCGTTTTGATATAGATACAATTATTAGATTATTTGTCGTATTATAATATTTAAGTTTTAATTTTATGTCCTTAAGATACATTTTTAAAAAGCCACATCAACTTGCAAACATGAAGCGGAGAAAAGCTGTTGACATGAGTCTGAAATATCTCTAGGTGTTTTTTGTTGTTTTGTTTTGTCTTTTGATGCTAATGATGTGACATGGGGAAGCCGTAAACAGCAGAAAAGCAGGGGCTGCCAAATGACCAAATTATGGAGGCCCAGGCCTGCTTGTTCCCATGGGAATGCATCCAAGGTGGTGGCAATAATTTTGCATCCTCATCAGGCAGGCGACATCACACAACTTAGTCGTACTGGTTTGTGGCGCCTGCCTGCATGTTCCTCGTGCTGTGTGTGCCTGTCACCCCCAGGCACTTCTTAGTCCTGCTGATGCTGGGATTAAACCCTGCTCTGGTTGCTGAGCACCGTACACCTGAGGGCACTATGCCAGGGCAGTTTTTCTTCTTTATGGCAGCAGCCGCTTGTGGACACGTTTTCCTGGTCGTTAGCACTTCGAGTCTGCTCCATAGCGTGGCTAGGTTTTTGCACTGATGCAGTAATTTTAATTTTTGTCTTCTACTGCCGAGTTCATATTTAATGAAAAATGGAGACCGTACAGTAAAGGCTTCCTTTTCTGAATCACGGTTGAGCACTTCCCCATCAAGCAGTGATGTGGCTCTTTTTTTTAGTTCCATTCATTCATCCCAGTGCCTCCTTTATAGCAGACATCTTGTTGTCATTCAAGGCAAGAAGAGCGGGGCCTCAGTGACTGGGACCACATACAGTTTAGTTCATTTTAACTTCACCTGCACAAAGACAATGGACACCTCAGTTTCCATCCACTAAAGTGCTGGCTAGAAAGTAATTCAAACGCCTGTATGCTTTCATCTAATTCCTGGGGAGCTGAGCGCATAGATGCGGGCCTGAGTGAGAGGCCACGTACCAACTTGCAGCTGGTAGCTGAAAGCTAATTCCCACGTCTATTACTGTGTTTTGGCTTCTGACAAAATTGTTGGCTTTCTTGTTGAGACGGGCTCTGACATTCGTGTCTGTCGACATCTGACATCTGACATCTGACATCTGATGTAGCTTGCTGGTAGACTCATGACCACGGGCTTGCCTTCATTTATTGATTATAGCTCCTTTTGACTCCATAGGCATAGACAACCATGGATTAAGCGTCTTGCTAATTTGCTTGCATAGAACTTTTGAAAACATCCTAGCATCCCTATGTTTGGAAACAGTAATAAAGCTGGTCAGTTCGTCCTCTTCTTCGGTCTCAGCCATCTCTTCTGCTGACCTCTGTGGTACATGGTCACAGTTCTTAGCAGGCAGCTCAGGGACTTTGCAAACAGACTTTCCCGACTCTCTTAACGTTTGGTTTCCTTATCCTTTGTCAGCAAACATGCTCAGATCTCTTCGTCTCAAATCACATAAACAAAAATCATTTCTTCAGTCCTGTTGCTATCTCTTGCCACTCTCTTTTAAGCAGTGATGAGCATCTTTTTTTTAAAATCAGGATTGATTGTCTCAGCTCCCCCACTGTCCACTCACTCCTTGCAGTTTAGTTTCTTCCCTCATCCAGAGCCTCCAGGACCCTGTATCAGCAGCTTCCTCCCGGGTCACCTTCTTTGACTTCTCTGTAATGTATGACCGTGTGTACCACTTGGCATTTTCTCTGTCTTTGGATTCTGTGGCATCGTTTTCACTTGGGTCTCCTGTTTCTGTAATGGACTCTTCTCCCCTTTCCCATGTCACCTTTCTCCCCTGTCCTGTGCAGATGTCCAGGCCTCTGTTCTGAGCTGCCTTCTTTCCTTTCCTTGTACCCCTCCCCGCTTTGGCAGTTCACATTCCCAGCTTACAACGTGATCTTAAGAAACGTAGCACCCCGAAGTTATTTCCAGTTCTCCTGACTTGTAATTCCAGCTACCCCCGGGATATCCTATCAATCTCTACTGAGACATGTCCAAAATGATTTAATTTCTCCACAAATCTCCTTTCCCCTTGACTATTCTCTCTGTTGAATGTACCAAGAAGCTCCATAACTTTAGCCTAAAAATTTATAGTCAGTATCAACTGCTTTTCTTGTTCCTCCCTTCAACAAATCAGACCTGATATTCTGTTAATCTCTGTAGTATTTTTTTCACACATATGCATCACTGCCCTCTTAAGTGATATCTTTTGCAATCACACTGTGTTCTGATTTCTATTCTGACATCTAATCCACTTGGCTCACTGCCATTAGGCTCACATTGCTTAATGTGTGTTGAATGAATAACTGAAAAGTAGTTTTAATTATATTGCCTGAGAGTTACCTCCCTATTATTGATTAAGCGAAATTCAGACTTGTTAGCTTAGTTTCCAGCCTGGGAACCTAGAGTCTCTTCTTGCTTTTCTGGCATGAAGCCTTTCACACGGCCTCTGTCTCTGTCACACACACTGTCATGTTCCGTGCTGTGTTGTGCAATGCAGTGGTGCTCCTCAGGAAGTAAATACAGTTAAATTCTATGATAATTAAAACTTAACCAAAGTCAAAAGGCTCTTTTGTGCAGCCTCTCGAAGCCTTTACCCTTCTGATATACGTTGTGAGCTCCCATTGAGAGGAGAAGTCTGTGGTATTTCTCGGGGCTGTCTGACCGTGAATCCTGTTTAGGGGACCATCCGTTATCTCACAAGATGCCAGTGTTCCGAGAAACACATTTCCAGACAGCGGGCACAGACGCCTCTTTATTCCCCAGACACACTCCGCTTTTCACAGTGCCCGGCAGATGGAAACCGGGCTTCTCCTCCCAGGCTGCCCTCCAGGGGAAATGTAGCACTGTCTGGGGCCATTTTGCTGTTACAACCAGGGTGCTCTTGAGCAAGCAGAAGCCAGCAACAAGCTGAATCTTCTAGAATGCACGGGACGGTGGCCCCAGCCAAGAATCACGCAGCCGGAATGTCAGTAGTGTCAAGGGCGAGAAGCCCTGGATGAGACACGGTCCTTCTCTCCTGCCTCTTGCCATTTAAGGCTGTGTTCACTTCTTTTCAAGGCCATATCCAGTATTTCCTCTTTGGTGACCGCTTCATTTTGCTCCTCAGGTTTTTCTCCCTTCCTCGTCCTCTCTGGCTCTGTGTGAGTGTTTTTTGTGGCATTTACCAACTCTTTCCCATTGCACACGTCCCCATGTGCTGGTGTAACATCACGTCAGGTGACCCCCTGGTCATCATTTTTCTGTCTTTCCACAGTCATTACAACGACACCTTGTTTGAAGACCAAAATGAAACCCTGCATTATCCACAGCTTTTCCTCTGATTTCCCATCACTCTCAAAGCCCCAGCCACAGGTGCTCAGAGCTCTGGACTATGCGTTACCAACTTACTCAAAGAAATATACTTGTAATTCTTTTATGAATTTTCAACTCTGGACAAACTGGCCCACTGATTGTACTTCAGATCTGAGCACCCCCATCTCCAACTTTTGGCTCATAATGTTTTGTTAATTTTGGATATCCCTCTCCTGCTATCCATAAATCCAATCTGTGTTAGTCAGCCATCCATTCTATGACAAAACTTCCAAAAGAATCGCTTCTAAAAGAGGAAACTTTTTTTTGGTTCATGGTTTCAGAGATTTTAGTCAGCAGTCATTTGTGTGTGTGGCAGTACAGTATCTCACGGGGGGAGCACATGGCAGAGGAGGCCTATTCGCCTCATAGTGGCTGGGAAGCAAAATGGCAGACAGGAAGGGGCGGGATCAAGTATTCCTTCAAGGGCAGGCCCCCAGTGGCCTCCCTCCTTCCACCAGCACCCACTACCTAAAGATTCCACCTCTTCCCAAAATAGTGCTACAGGCTGGGGTCCAACCCTTCAACATGCAGGTCTTCGGGAGGCATTTCAGATCCAAACTGTAGCCTCACCCATAATTCAGCCCCAACCTTCCCTCTTCCTTCAAGGAAGTCTTGTGTGTCTGCTCCACCCACGAGGGTCCTTTCTTTCCCAAACAAATTTAGTCCTTGTAGGTCTATCAATGGGCAATCAGTTTCTACTATCTCGACCATATTTCTCACGTGGAGAACTAGATATGATTATCAAAACATCAAGTCTGTTTTATTACTGGTTTTTTTTTTTTTTTTTTTTTTTTTTTTTTTGCCAGTTACCTTGTCTGTGCTACAGCTTCAGAAATAGTCTAAAATGTTTGCTCTTCTCTTAAATTGGAGTGTGTTTTCACAATGCCTGCCTTCTCTACAATGCCTCTCTTCTTAACCCTCTGTCTCGTCTTTGGAGGGAACCCCAGGGCAAGGCCAGGATGAAAGTGACATCAAGGCCTTGAATTTCACCAGGGTGAACAGGAGGGGCCGGAGGGTCACACTGGGCTCTGGGAGAATTTTTATAAAGAATGAATAATAGCAATCAGACCCAACATTTTAATGAACAATTTTAATGGCTTATCCAATGTAATCCTCCTGATTTGGAAGGATTAGATTGACAAAACTACCTATCCATGTGGAAAGAAGTCTCATGTGCTGCCCTTGTAGTTACAGCAGGGCCCAGTGGGGCAGGAGGGGTCACCAGCAGAGTGCGCAGCTGGTGGGAACCACAGTTACCAGACCAGTGAAGACAGCCCGCTCCTGAGCAGCCTCCTGAACCCGAGAGCAACCTGCAGAGAAGTCAGGAGAAAAAGACAGTAAAAAGGGTCACAGCACACCACACACACACTCGCCCTACATTTTCCATTCCGCTTTTTTTTTTGCTTTGTGTTTTACTTTTTGAGATGGGGTCTCACTCTGCAGCCTCCCAGGCTGGCCTTGAATTGGAAGTACTCCTGCCAGGCCTCCGAAGTGCTGGGTTCACAGGCATGCGCCCTGATGCCTGGGTCCTTTTGGCCTCATTTTATTTTTTTCACAGCCTCCCTGTTCCATCTCTGTCTTTCTCTTTTATCGTTCTCTTCCTCTCTCTTTCCTGAGCCATGGGAGGTTAAACTTACATGGACAGTCCCCAATTTATAATAGTTCAACTTGCCATTTTTTGAGTTTTGATCATGTAAGAGCAGGATGCATCAGTAGAAATTGGAAATTTGATCTTTCTTAGCTAGAGCTATGCCTCATGACCCCCTCACGGTGTTGAGCACCAGTTAGGTCTAGTGACTGCACTTTGACCTAATTTCCAAAATTTGATGGGGGTATAAGAACGTTACCCCTCATAAACTGAGAAGCATCTAAATATCAAAGCTCTCACCCCTGAGTACTTTAATGTGTATTTCCTAAAAATAATGCTATTCCTTTGCATAACCACATCAGAGCCCTCTGTGTCACCAGAATTGAACAATGACACCATTCTTTCACACAATCCACCATCTGTTCTCTGATGTTGTCGCCTTAATAACATTCTTCTTTAAAGCACTTCCCCCTGCCATGCAGGATGCAGGTTAGAGTAAGGCCGATCATTTAGTTTGCCTGCCTTCTGAGATGTTTCCATAATTTTTCTCTATTTTTATATCAGTGTTCACAAAGAATATAATTTCTTCCTGAGACACACCTGTAACCCTAGCTACTCAGGGTGTTGAGGCTTCAGGATTCAAGGTTTGGGCAACTTAGCAAGACCCTGTCTCAAAATTTAATAACTAAATAAAAAAATTTTAAAAAGGGCTGGAGTCCTGACACAGACAGGGTTCTGTGTTCAATTTTTAGTAATAAAATAAAATAAAGAATAATATTTCTTTTTTAAAAAATAAAACATTCACAAAGACTCCATATGCACATTCAAAAACTAGTATGACTAAGAAATAACGAGTAAAGTTGCTGGAGGCAAAATCACATAAAAATCAGTTGGATTCTATGCAGTAGCGATGAACATGACGAAAAGAAAATTAAGAAAATAATCACATTTATAACAGAATCAAAAAGAATAATATACTTAGGAATAAACTTGACCAAGGAAATAAAATGCATATAGACTAAAAATTACAAAACACTGGTGAAAGAAGTTAAAAGAGACACTAATTAGTGGAAAGACGTCCTCTGTTCACGGTTTAGAAGAAATAAGGTACAATAGATACTGTGAGAGGAAAAGAAACTGCTCAAAGGGAAAGAACAATCGAGATGGGGAAAGGAGAAAAGGAAGGGAGAAATACACGCACACACACACACACACACACGGTAGCTAAGATAATTGTACTATTCATTCTATTAGTTAATGGAAAGGAACAGTTAGTGCTTATACTGTTTGATCAATTTTGCACACCTGTATCTGGTAATCTGAGCAACTCTTTTGAAGATAACAATATGTAATATAATAACCACTGTTGATTTCCTATCCTCTTGTTTTGAAATTCTGTATCATTTTGGGTTTTTTTTCTCTTTAAAAAAATTTAAATGTCCATACTTTCTAAAATGATTTACAGATTCAATGTAATTGCTATCAGATCAGTACTGTGATGAATTCAAAGTGAATTTTCAACATAAAAAAAACCTTTCTGGTACTGATGATTGACTTTAGAGTCTTCACACTGGCTCACATGCGCAGTCCTTTTTATTTTTTATTGTGAGACAAGGTGTTGCTGAGTCACTAAGTTATCCTGCATGGGCTACAACATGTGCCCCTCTCGCCTCAGCCTCCCGGAAGCTGGGATTACAGGTGCAGGCCTTACACCCAGTTACAGATTTCATTTTCCAACCATGACTTGCCGCGTCTGTTGTTTGCTCCATATTCTGCTCTCAGTGAAAGCCCTTTCTTGTCTAGTTGCTTGCTTGTTGCTTTCTTGGGTCATTTGTCTATTTATTATCTGTACCAATCAAATTCTATTTTCACTGGCCTGTGATATGCACCCTAAAGGGCTCAAGTTATCCCAGAATTGGCCAGAGGTAGGGCCCCTGCCTGGGCTCCTCGTCCTTGTGCCCCAGCATTTTCTGAGCACTTGTTCACCTGCTGACAAACAAAAGGTTCAACATCCCCTGAAGGTGAAACTAAGAGAGGGAAGAGCACAGAATATGTGGGGGAGGAGAAGAGGCAGAAAGACACGAAGAGGCCTGAGAGGACTCTGGCCGCACAGGTGCAGAGCCACTGTCCCTTCTGTGAATGGCGACAGGTGTCCTGCCCTGGAAGTGGGGCAGAGCAGTGCCTCGGGGAGACCACAGAGGGTGCTGTCTGAGGGGTCCCCTGTGGCTAGTGGGCCTCATGTATTGGTCACCTCTGTCCCTTGAAAATGATGGAAGCATAACCCAAAACGGGGGTGGGGAGAGTGCTGAACACTAAGGAACCAAAGCTGGATGGAGATGCCGGAAATGAAGGGATGCCGGAAATCAGAGCTTCCCTGGGTCTGTCTCCCTGTTCTCTGTCTGTCTCCTCCCTCCTTTCTTCTGTGTGTGTGTGTGTGTGTGTGTGTGTGTGTGTGTCCCTCTCTCTCCATCCCTCAGTGCTGCCTTCCTCTATTTTCCATCCCTTGATTCCAGGCCCCCCTCTTCTCTCAAGTTGGCAGAGGTGACCATGGCCCTTCTAGGTTAATCCAAGTTTAGCAACTCTGGCAGAAACCAAGCTGCTCTTTCCCAAAGACTGTGAGAAAACTCCCCGGAGTGTCCCTGACTGGCCCAGGGCCTACACAGTGGCTGTGCTGGGTGTGACAGCCCTCTGGTTGACCAGACCTGGGCTGGCAACTCCCCTCTAGAGCCATAAATGTGAGTGAGGTCCTCCAAACCCATGGGCTTGGACCAGAGGGAGGACGGGCTCCCCAAGGCTCCCCTAAAGAGGATTCGGAAGCGCTCTAACCAAAGAGGGGAGAAGGACATCAGGAAAGCTAATGTAAGGCTTCACTCTGCATGGACACAGGGTGCTTGACAGGGCCAGGGTTTTGACTCTGAGATGCTCACAGAAGCCAAGGCCCGCCTTCCTCGCCTGCACATGGCCTCCTTCCTCACACCAAAGAAGAGCTTGAACTCCCCCTGGGGCCTGAGGCCTCCGCCCCTCTGACCTTGCTCCTGGCCTGGTGCCTCCCTGACCCAGGAAGGCGCATAGGCCGCGCCTTGGGACCCTCATGGAGCCTCTCTCCATCCAGTCCGGACCGGCTTTTGTTTCATCATTGCTCCCGGCCTGGCCCAGCCTGGCCGGCCTGACAGGGACGTGTCGGTCACGCTGCTGTGTTACGTCACCTCAGATGGCAATCGAACTCCCTGCTCACAGAAGCTGACAGGAGGGTGCTGGCAGTCTGCTTATCTGGGTTCTACCCTTGCTGAGTAAAGGCCATTATCAGAATTATTCACACAGAATGAGAACAGCTGGAAGTCCGCAGATTATTCATTACATTACCCTCTCTGAGTCACTTGGCACAGAGGGAGCCTTGGAGGAGTCTGCCCTCACCCCTGCCCCTTCCCCGTCCCGGCCAGGACAGGTCCCCTCTGGCTCACCCACTGAGGCGAGAAGTCCCCTTGGGTAGGCTCAGGTGTGGCCCCCTTTGGGGTGCTTGCTGTGGGGCAAGCAGAGCTGCACAGCAGGGAGACCCGGAGGAGACAGAAGCTTGGGGTGCTGCCCAGTCAGGCCCTTTCCCACAATGGCCCTGCCAACCTCGGTGTCCAGACGTCAGAACAAGCTGTTTAACTGACCCCCGAGGCTTCCGTCTGACCTCCACCATCGTGCCTGCTTCCTACACGTCTTGCAAAGGAAAGAGACAAGTGCTGTAGTCCTGAGACCCTCCGCGATGCTCCCCAGCTTGCTCCCACGAGCCAGCCTTGGTCTCCACCCTTGACACACCCCTTCTGCGCCTCCTCGTGCAACAAGCCCACACCTGCAATCCAAACACACTCAGGCTGCACCCGGCACACGTCCATTCCCAGGCAAAACCCAGCAAAATTGATGCCAGACGCTGTGGGAAAGAGGCGGGAAGAGAGAGTGCGGTTAATGAGGTGGGTTCAAAGGCGTGGGCTCCTTCATTACCACCATCCAGTAATAACACACAGGGGCAGCCCCGCCTGAACTTGAAGACAGCCTAGGCCGGATGAAGATCAAGGCTTGTGAGGAGACAAAAGTACTTTGAGTTTTCTGTTTTTCTTTTTGGTACTGGAAATCAAACTCAAGACCTTGGGCTTGCTAGACAGGCATTTGTGCCACTGAGCCCCAGAAGTGCTCTTTGACCTGCTAACTGATTTATGTTCAAAATGTGATTCAGATTCTAACTGTTCCCTATTTTCCACAACTTCTCAGGGTCAGGCGGCAACTCCCACCCTGTCTCTGGGCTCAGCTGCTCTAGAAAATAGTGGTGATCTGTGATGAGTTTTGCAAAACAGGAGTCTAGCCCATCAATGGTTCTGAGGGGACCAGGGTCCCCTTATTATGATGGGACCATAGGCCAGGCTGGAGGGAACCCCAGGGTGTGCCTAGGCAAATATCTAACTGCCCAACTCACCTGTGTATTGGTCAGCTACAGCTGCTGTAACAAAACAGCCACAGGCTGAGCAGCTACCATGGAGGCGCGTTCTGAAAGCTGGACTTTCCGAGTAAAAATGTCCACAGGACAATTCCCTCTGAGGGACAGCGCTGCTGATACTCTCTCCTTGGCTTTTAGAGGCCTGTCTTCCTGTTTAGCTGGTCTTCTGTGTCTCTGTGTCCACACTTCTCCCTTTTACATCTGTCTTCCTGATCAGAACGCACCTAGTGACCTCAGTCCAATCTGATTCCCTCTGTGCGGATTCTCCATCCAAACAAAGCTGCAGTACTGAGGTGCTGAGCTAGTGGGAAGCTCATATATGTTTTTGGGGTGGCACAATCGACCCATCATGCTCTAGTTCCCCTGGCTTCTCGTTGTTGGATCTCTGCTCTCACTTGGTGTTAACACTTAATAATTTTTCTGTTAAATCTTCTCAGAGGCTGAGAACATCTCACACCTATGGCTGATGGGATGATCTGAAAATAGGAGAAATTGGGAGACCAGAAACCTGGGCTATCTTGTCCCTGAGATCTCAGGGCCACAGGCTGCGGAAGGTAGGAGGGGCCCTGAGCCATCTCCAGGTCAAGCCGTGCCTCAGTGTACAGGGGTTTTCTTCTTCTGATCCACTCAGCCCAACTCTGAGCAGCCTGTGGCTGTGGCTTTGGTATTCCAGGAGGGAAGGGTGTTGGTCAGCTTTGTATCACTGTGACAAAACACCTCAGATCATCAATTTCTAAGTAGGAAAAGCTAATTTTGGCTCATGGCTTCAGGGAATTCAGTTTGTGGTCACTTGTCCCTGTTGCTTTTGGGCCTGTGGTGGCACAGTACACTATGGAGCACATGGCAGAGGAGGCCTGTTTACCTCATGTTGGCCAGGAAGCATTGAGAGACAGGAGGGCGCTGGAGTCCCCTGCAGGGACACACTTGATACCTGACTTCTTTCCACTAGGCCCTGCCTTCCAAAGATTCCATCACCTCCGGAAGTGCCCAGTGCTGGGGGCCCAGCCTTCCACAGTGGCCTTTGGCGACATTCCAGATCCCCACTATGACAGGGGTATAGAACAGCAAGTAGCCACGAGGATGCCACTCATGGGACATTAGCAGGGGTTATTCCAGTACAAAGAGCACACACTGTAGGATCCTGACTGTTATTATCCCCCCACGCACCCCGTTAACTTGAGTTCCTTTGGCTTCTTGAGGCAGTGAACCAACTGGTTGTCCCGGCCTTGGCCTTTTCCAGTGGGGATTGCATTGGTGACCCTTGGACCTAGAGTGTCCAAGCCTGGGTAATAAGGAGTAACCCCCTTTCTTCCTCTTCTAGTCCCCAACAAGGAGGAACCAGCCCTCTCGCTGCTCTGCAGCACCCCACTCCCTCTGCACCTCAGCCTCTCCCCTCCCAGACCCATCGCTCCAGACCCAGGAGGAGGACGCTCCTGAGCTGGTTCCTGTTTCATCTTCTTCCTGGTAATTAACGAGAAGTACCTGCTTCTGAGAAGTGCCCGGCTATGTATTTCAGAACAGGCAAGTCAGGACACAGGTCTACCAGCCACAGTGGGAGAGAGAAGCAGCAGAGGGCCGTGGCTTGTGGGCACAGGGGCTCCACCTCAGGGAAAAAGGTGGGAATTCGCTGTGGGGTGCAAAACTCAGGGTTTTGGTGAGCCTTTCTGTGCGGCCAGCCTGCCTGTGTGCAAAGCAGGGGTCTCCACAGGAGGAGAGGCTGCGTGAAGCTCCCATAGCCACCTGTCCCAACTTGTCCCCCCCTCCAAGTGACACCACTGGAAATTCTATCCTTCTGCTCATGCAGGTTTTACAGAGCCCCTGTCAGAGTGACAGCATTTTATCTCAGTAAGCAAGACTTCCTGAGATTGAGAAATAAATGTCAGGCTCCGGTCAGCCTGGGCCGCTCCACAGCCAAGGAGAGAGGCAGGCAGAGTGGGGACCCTGCTGCCAGGCTGGGGGGGTGGAGATGAAGGACCTCATTTGCTTGGGAAGTTTGCTCAGGGATAGTCTTGCTCTCTGACCACTAACCAAAAAAGTGTCAAGTCGAGGTCACTTTAGTCACTGCCATCTGCCAAGGAGGACAAAGGCCTGTTTGTGGTCGGGGAACCCAAGGCCAGAGGTGGCCGTGGGGAAAGGCAAGACTTGTAAAAGTGGCCCTCAGTCAGCGGAGCAACTAGCTCTTTATAGCCTTTCCATCTGACTGCAGAACATTCAGGGAGGAGGACAAAGACGGGATTTCTCAGATGTGTTTGCCTTTCAGGAACCCGCACAAACCCCAGGGTAGAACATGATCACCCGTAGGACTCTTTCTCCTGATGCCATGAGAGGCCTCGGAGGGGCCGCTCCTGGGCTCTGTGGTTAGGACACTGGCTTTTAACTGGGGGCTCGGGCAGCGCAGAGCACAAGCTTAGCAACACAGGGAGCCCTGGCTTCAATCCTCAGCAAAGAAAACAAAACCAGCTTGGAGCTGAGTACTTGACACCGGGACCACAATCAAAACGAAGCCCCACCACACTGGGGAAGGTGGGGTGTTCTCAGGCTTTCCCTACCCATCAAAGAAAGGCCAGAAGCTTGGTACTCAGGCTTTGAGACACGTTTTACAATAGACCGCCACCAGATGGGGTTGGAAGCTGCTCCAGCTGACATGCTGGTGGGCTCTGTTCCCTGGCTGACCAGGGCTGAAGGCTCACAGGAAGAGCAGTCAGCCCCCCACCTCCAACACTGCTGGGACCCACAGACCCACACATAACTGTTCTGTTTGTTCAGCCTGACCAGACTCTACGCTCAGAAACATGCAGAGTCCTAGCACTGGACCAAGAGCCCATAGAAAGAGATTTCTTCATGCAATGAATGGGGTACAACCTTAAAGTCCTATTGCACCCCCCCAACACGTGTGCAAACCCAGTTCAGAACTAACTGCTCCTCACTGCATGTTGATGCTGAATTCAGAGCTGATTTTCTTTTTTTAGCTCAGATTGTTTGGGTAACCTTGGTGTGTGTGGGGGGATGTCTTTAAAACCACACTAGCCCTCTAAATACATCGTTTGATATTTATTGTTTACAAAAAAATTAAACTTTCAGAGACTAAAATGAGCTGGAAATGAGCTCGGTGAACTGTATAATTTTCTTCTCTGTAGTAAACATTTCAATGACTTTTCCCAAGGACTGAAGTTAGCCAGGAAGGAGGTCTAACTTCCCGCTCCACCAGTCCTGGCGAGATTGATTTCCGGGCTCTGGCGAGGAGGTGTGAGCCCTTAGCGTGGTAGGCATGGAGGTGGCCCCAGTGACTCTGGGATCGGAGAGGCTTGTGCTTTCAGGGGATGATTCTGTTCACCTCCGCAACACCGCCTGCTGTGCTGGGGTCTGACGTTTGGTGGTCACTGCTCTGCACCTTTTCCCGGGTTCCCAGGCACCTGTGCTCCATCTCCTCTCTGCCCAGGGTTTGTCTCCGAGCCTCGGGACACAGCAGGCCATGCTCAGGACCAGGATGTCCCTTCTGCACCAGTGGGCAGGCATGGGAGTACTGTGCCATGGGAGTACTGGCTCCAGGTCTCCAGGGCAGGAGGGTGGATAGGTCTTCCAGCCCTCCTGCCTTGAGCTCCCTGAAGCTAACATCCAGTTTTCAAAGCACCACCTTGCAAAGAGCTTCTCGACTAGACAAATTCAGAGTATTTTTGTTTTCGCACGTACTAAGAAGGGGAGGGGGTGTCTCTCAGGTCCCATGGTGGGCTCGGGATCGCGCTCTGGTTCTCTTTGCAGAACACCGCTCCCCCCTCCCCAAGGCCAGGGTCCCCTTACCGTTTGCAAGGAAGGAGCTGCAGGATCTAATGGAGGACCCTAGGGGTTCTCCTCAAGTCAGTAGCAAGCACGGCCGTCTGATGGAAACAGCGCGCCCACAGGAGTCAGACCCCTGGGAACGTGCCCCCACTGCATTCCCACGCCACAGTCCCGCAGGGGTGAGAGGTGAGTCTTTGCCCTGGGGCCCCGGCAGACCTACTGCACAGCTGGCCGCGCGCCATCTGCTGGTGAATTAAGGCAAAGCAGATTCCCAAGCCCTGGGCGCCGCTGGCAGCAGGATTTGGAAATGGTTTCTTCTCACCCTTGATTTTGAGTGGAGGAGGCTGGGGCCTGAGGAAGATGACAGGTCTGTCTGAGTCCTCACAGTGGGGCCGTCTGGCGTCTCTGTGTCTGAACCGTGACTTGGCAGCCATGCGCTCCCATAACCTTGGGCATATTTCGCAACTTCTCAGTGATCAGCTTTCTTATCTGTCCCATGAGGGACCAGGCTCCCTACCTGGAGGACCTTTTTAAAGGGAAGATTAAGTTAGGCAACGGGTGTGGACTGCTTGAGACTGTGTCTGACCCTGCTTAGAGCCTCACCCCTGGGGCCTTCTTCATCCCAGAGCGACTGATCTGCATTGGTAATTCTCCGAGGATGGACAGCTTTCTCCTTCAGCCTGAAAGCAGGGGAGTGCAGAGTCCTCAGCACACAAGAGCTCACTGACAGGCGTCTGGCTTCTGGCGGGAACGCTTGGCGTTGGCTACTGAGTGAAAGGCGGTGGAGACGGCCTCCAGGAGCCATGGAGACTCAGGTCCACCGAGCCATATTCAGTGACTCAGGAACTATACATAGTCATTAGGGCTCCCTGAAGGAGCCCGGAGCAGTGGCAGGGAAGTTCCATTTGCCCCATCTAACTAGGGTACCCACGGGAGCTTCCTCTGCTTCTGAAGCAGTGACATTTACAATGACCACTTCGTTAACCCTACGGAATAACAACACTGTTGAACCTCATTGGAACCCCGAGAGACAAGGAGGGAAGAAATGAATGAGGGCCCCATTTTCTCCTCCTCTTCAGATTCTCTAGCGGTGCCTTCTAGGAACCTGACCTGATCATACCCCGCAGATCAGGAGCCCATGGATGTCAGCCTCACAGGACACAGAACAGGGCAGAGTGGGTTTCAGGGGAAAAACTGGGGAGAAACATACACAGCCATGGCTCATACATATGTAGAGGAAGTATAAAAATATTTGGATTATTTCTATATTCAACTGTACTTCCCTCAACTTGAGGGAGTTCTCTATGACCTCATTCGTGAGTCTTGTATTTCTAACGATGCCATTAAAAAATGTTCTTTTGGACCAGGGAGTAACTCAGCAGTGTAAGCCTGGCAAGTACAAGGTCATGAGTTGATCTCCGATACAAAAAAATATATATATTCTTTTCCTCCCTCCTCTGCTCTTCTTCCCATTCTTTAGTGGTTCTCATCCAATGTCCAATATGATTGGGGTTATTAGAAGTTTACATGGAAATGGGCAAGGCAATAGATAAGTTTGCCTTCTAGAACATTCCTCCCCATCTCCCATCCCCATCAGCAGTTTGTGAGTGACCTGTGCTGCAGCCCTGATCAGGGCCAACAGGTGAAACTTAAGCAAGGCCTGCCCCCTGTGCACCTCCCCCTGCTCATCCAGCCTGACCCCACCCCCACCCCACCCCCCTGCACCCCCTTAGTATGCCTGAATGCAGAGCAGGGGTCCTACAGCTGGGTTTGCAGCTTGGGTCTTCACAAAGCACTGCAGGTGACAGAGTCCTAGTTCTCACTGGACACTGGGGGCTGGATGAAGGGACATGCTGCACGCCTGTCTGCTCTGGTAGCTGGGCCTGGTGGAAATCAGAGTGGAGAGGTTTTGCAGGGTGCTGGGGGTGCGTTCCTCTGGGTTCCACCCTCAGAGCCTATGGAGAAATGAATAATAAAGTCGGGCATGGCCTCAGACCGTACAAATGACAGCAAGACTGTCCTCTGAGGCCCAGGGAGCTCTTTGGACATTAGGGTTTGAAATTGCCTGTGGGCCTCCTGCTTTACATGGCTCTTAGATCCTATCATTGTCCCTTTTTTGGTCACTGACTCTACCACTCTTTTCTTTTCTGTCTTCCTAATATCACTTGCTGAGTTGGAAAGTCTTGAAGTTCAGCTCTTAACAATTTCTATATACATGTTTTTTGGGGGAGGGTGGGAGCAAGGTCTTATTATGTTACCCAGGCTGGCCTTGACCCCCTGAACTCAAATGATCCTCCTGCCTCAGCCTCTCAAGTATCTGAGACTACAAGCACAGACCCCACAACCTGACTTACATTTTTTTCTTGCCCCTCCCACAAATCTGCATAAAAACCTCTTCCATTAGGGTCTTTTATTGGCAAATCACTGGAAAAAACAAGTAAGGATCAAACATAGAAGGCGTGATCAAAATATCTGGTGAATGTTTAAATCTGCAACATTTATGTCAGTGAAAGGGTGGCCCTCCTCCTTTCAAACGCGTTTATCGCATTGTCCTGCTGTTTACCGAAGCAGATCCAGCGCCGCGCGGCTCCCAGCTACAGAGTGGAAGGGACCGTGGAAGGGACCATAGAAGGGAAGAGACTGATTTAGGACACCGAGGTGGCCAGGACGGTGTAACCTACGGCATGAGAGAGGGCTTCTGGAGGGCTCCCGAAAGCACAAGGACGATGGGATAGGTGCGTTCAAGGCCGGGGAGGGGATGCTGAGAGGGGTTCGTGGCAATGCGTCCTTTTCTGGAATAATGTTTTTAAAATTTAAAATCACTCCTAGCAGGCACACAATTATGAAATGAAGTCCAGACATCTCAGGGCAGCTATCGGGGGACACCAGGGCAAGTGCCCGCAGAGCCTCACCCTGCCGCAGCAGTGGGTGGGGAGCACGTTGGCCTGCCCGAGTCACGTCTCAGGGGACTGCGGATGAATGACCGAACTTGAGAAAAATAATCTGTTTACCAAGGAGATTTCTCTCAGACACTTGCCCTTGAGCCCTTCCAGGGCCCTGAATTTTTTTTTTTTTTTTTTTTTTTTTTTTTTTTTTGTCTTTTTCCTTTTTTATCGGTACCAGAGATCGAACTCACAACTGCCTGCTTTCAAGGCAGCGCTTATGTCGCTGAGCTAAATCCCCAGCCCCCTAGGGCCCTAAACTTAAAGGTGGCAGAGGGACAGGACAGAGCAGTGCTGTAAAGAAAGACGTAACCTCCGGCCCCGGGAACACTCCTGACTCAGATGCCCAGAGCAAGCAGGGGACAGAGCAGGCTGCTTCAGGGTCATCTTTGGGTCCCCGGGGGGCCAGGGAGCCTTCTTCCTAGGGGCTCCCAGGCCCTGCGCCTTCAACCAGTCAGCAGCCCCTGCCCGGGGCCCTCTGTCCCCCTGGGCGTGGGGACTCTGGCACAGCAGGAGACAGCAGTGGGGCTCAGGCTCCAGAAATGCCCCTTGGTGCTGGGGATGCTGCCCTTGCATTTCTGGGGCTGCCAGATCTTCCCCTTTGCAAGAGCGTCTGAGGAGCCAGGCTGTAGCAGGAGCTCCCGATGACAGCTGAGAGTGACAGTGCTCTTCTGTGTGCAGCCTTCCGCGGTGTCTGTCTGTGCAGCCTGTGTTTTTGAGATGGATCTATGCTGATACCTAGCAGTGAATGTTTATGTACATTTTGTCTTGCTTTGGTTTGTTTGGTTTGTTTAGATGGGGTCTGACTATGTTGCCCAGGTTGACATTTTGCTCCCAGATTCAAAGAATTGTTCTGCCTCAGCATCCCAAGTGGCTGGGACACAAACATTCACCACCAGCTCTGGCTTCTGTAGAGTTCGGGGAGTTTTTTGGGCTTTTTTTGTGTGTGTGTTTTTGAGGTAGGGTTTCACTATATGGTTCAGGCTGACCTCAAACTCACAGCAATCCTCCTGCCTCAGCCTTCTGAGTGCCTGGCTTTTTGTGGACTTTAAGTGCAGTATAATATTCAGTCAATAAGATTCACACATCTTCAGGGAATCATTTCACAAATTGTTTCTCTGAGAACCACCACTTACTTTAAGAATCCCTGACAGTCTGGGCAGTAGACACTGGAATTTAGAAGTCCTCCTGGTACCTGTCACGCATGCTAGTTGCTACACAGCGTCCCATTGCGTAACCACATTGCTGTCTTTAAACCATGCACTAACCTGTCAGTCTTCTGTCTGAACAATGCTGTTGTGGGGGCTGGGTTTATCTTCCCGCCCCTGCACGCCTGAGTCCTCTTGCCGGGAGGCGGACTTTGGTGTCTCTAGTGGGTGCCATCGGTCCTGGTTGCTTGGTGCAGTGTCCCAACTCTGTCTCCAGTGTGTGTGTGACAGTGACTTGCTCCACAGCCTCACAAGCTCTGGGACTTCCACCCGTTCCTAATCCGGTTAGCGTGAACTGATTTCTTGCCACAATTTTAGTTTACACTTCCCCGTTACAGATGAGATCGAGCATCTTTTTCATATTTTTATCAGCTTTTTGGGTTTCCTTAATCATGGCCTTTGTCAGTCTCCATTGGTTTGTTTGGTTTTTTAAAAGTGAATCGTAGGTGTTCTGCAGATCATCTAGATGCAATTCCCCATCGATTCAGGGTCAGGTGTGGTGCTTTGCTTCAGTTTTCAGCAGAGGAAAGAGGGTTACTGCCATGAGCCCCTGAGTTAGGTAAAAAAATTCCTAGCAAAATTCTAGGGCAGGCTATGAAGCAGATGATTTGTGACAGTTGAGGACGGGAAGCTGTAATCCTGGAGAGGGACCTTGATTATTAGAACCCAGTGGTGCCAGAGAGTCTCCGCTGCCAGCCTCTGCCATCTGGATGACACCTGGGAATGATGAGACCCTGGGTTTTGCAGACATCACCCTGAAGCATCTGTGAGACAGGCGGACCACTGTGCCCATTCTACAGACAAGGGCACAAGCCTGCACCTGGCCTGGTTAATGTGCTCGTGCTGGGTCACAGCAAGGCCTGTGACCTTGTCAATGTGGGAGAAGTATAGGGTGGACCGGTTTGTGTCACCAATGGTCAGGATCTTTCTGGAGCCTGCCATCTGAGCTCTGTCCTGACCCCCTCAATAAGCATGTCAGTGTCTTTTAAAAGGCAGACTGACAAGCAAGTCAAATTCATAAATAGCTTGCAACCGAACTAGGATTTTCAGAAAAATGTCACCAGGTGGGCCAGCTTGAATCCTGGAGACAGATGCCAGGGCTTCCTCCCCTTCGCCTCTC